ACAGCAATGGCTGTGTGAATGGTAAATTTGCTTCATGTAGTGGCGGTGCCAAGATCCATGTATGAAGACGAATAACGATAGCATTAATTTAATGCATGGCCTTTAGATTAGAATCCATGATTGTAATATAACCATAAAAGTTAAACTCATCATAGGTATGTAAATGTTGACTTTAATTGGTTCATTTTGAAATGATCAATGGAATACAACTATTTCTCATTTTCAAATTTTTTAAACTTTTTGGAGTGCGACATCTATTCTTTCCGGCTTAGGCTAACAAATATTTATGCCTGTATTTTCTTTTTCAACTGATTAATGTTTAATTGTTGGCTTTTGCTAAAGAGAGAATAACAAGTCATTTGATATTTTCTTGTATGCTTCACAATTCTCAAGTTATATTTGGTATCCATTATCATTAATGGACACAAGCTTATCTTGTACCATAAATTAGGGATATATGTTGTATAACAAACTAAAAAATGTGGACAGTATAATGGATACAAAAACGAAAGTTACAGAGAAAGAGAAGGATTTAAGACATTGTTTTGGTGTTCATGTTATAAAGGTAGTCCAAGTAGATTAACAACCAATACCATAAATTTTGAGATTTCTAATCTATGTTTGCATTTGATCTACATTATTTTACCTCACTAGTATCCATCAATTGTAGATTCTCTTATGTTCCCGTTCTACCCATTTTTTTATTGGCCTTTCTCATGGAGTATGTAAACATTCAATGGGCTTTTTCTTGGCGTTCATTTATGACGAAATAAAATATAAAAATTTCTTATTAAATAAACAATTGAACTTCCGCTCTTACTATAAAACTGCTTTAGTTAACAACTTGATTTAATTAAAACTTATTATTAAATATTAAAAATTAATAATATAATAAAATTTTAATTTTATTGCTGAAAACTCTATCATTACCTTCAGCTCAGACACCTCTCTGCACACGCGAGTTCTCGCAAGGCTAAGCCCAATCATGAGATTTTTTTCTTCCTCTCGCTTCCTCTTCCTCTGCACGACAACCTCACCAACTCCCTTTAAGCTCAATAGAGTCGTTGTTGCCAGACAGTGACACCACCCCTCTTCTTTTCCTTCGCACGAAATCAGCTTGCGACTTCTTCGCCCTTTTTCTGAACAGTGACTTCAGCTCCTCACTCTATCGACTCCATGGTTCAATCAAGCAGCATAAGTATTCGACGTTTCTTGCTCCTTCTCTCGTGTCGTTCTCAGTTAAGTGGCATGCGACTTATATAGGCAAAAATCACTTATTCAACTTCCCGATCTTGTTGCTCTCCCCTTGTTTCGCTCGCCCGACCCTCTGCTTCTTCTCCTTCTCTATTCAGTTTCTTGATTGTTCGCTTCTTCTTTCCCACTCCTCGCTTCTTATCTCCTTCATCTTTTCGTTTCTTCTTCCGAGATAAACAAAAGTTACAGTCTTCCTCACAAAAAATTTATCATCGAAATTTATAATCAAACCTCAAGCAAGTCAACATTAACTATCCATAAAATTACGGTCATTCATGAATAGTAATCACTATAAAGATAAAGACTAGATATGGGGCGACTCAATTATACTTCGAATTATAATGCACAACTATTGAAACAAGTATTCTGGGAAAAACACCAAACTCATCAGATCTCATCACCTTCAGAATAGCAGTAGGTTCTTTAGACTCACTATGAGTGAGAGAATATACTCGAGGTCGAACAGACTATCTTGGTTGACCTTGAGTAGGAGCTGAAGCTACAGACTCTATTTTTGCTACTCGCCTATAGACTTCTATGAAGGAGATCCGCCAACATTTTGATCTTTACTGCTTTTCTGGCCAAGAGATGGATAATATCTTACTATAGGACCGGACTGATGACACAAATAACAAGTGTTAAAGACCATAAAAAATTCATCTTTATGCTGTCTTCAGCATTTGACACAAGGTGCTTCAGTACCCTGTCATACCTCTGCTAACTCCACTCGAATTATACTTGTTCTTCTTCTCATTATTCCTTCTGAGTGATCTACATGTTCTTCTGCAGTCTTTCTCTTGTGCATCTCTTTACGCTTCTGTGTAAGCAGATAGTTGATCTCCTCTCTTCTAGCTCATTATATTAAAATCAAATAGTCAGCGATCCCTAAGGATGCCAACGACTTTTTAATTGAATCTTTTTATCCCGAAATGAGTCTGTAGTACTTTTCTTCTGTGGTAGCGATCAATTGAGGCGCATACCTCGATAGTGCCGTGAATTCTTCTTCATACTGCTTGACAGTCTTCTCCCCTTGCCTTAACTTGATGAATGCGTTCTGCATTTGTCGTTGAGCTGAGAGAGGTGCGAATTACTTGCGTTCTGCATTTGTCGTTGAGCTGAGAGAGGTGCAAATTGCGAATTACTCTCTAAAAAGGTCCACGAACTCCTCCCAACTTATCATTGTATTGGCTATGTCTCCTAACCTGTCCTGACACTGCCCACCCCACCACCTTTTAGCTTCTCCATCAAGTAGAAACGTCGCTGATGGTACTCTTCTTTTATCGCAACAAGCCATGCTATCTAGTATCTTCTCTATCCTTATTAAGTAGTTTTCTGTGACAATTGGGTCTTCAATTTCCTTGAACAATGGTGGACTCAAATCTTGAAAAACCTTTAAGTACTTATCTACAACGACGATATCACTTCTGATAGACTGCGATTTGGACTTCTTAATCAGTTAGGTCATTGCCGCCATCATTGGGATGAGGATATTTGTAGTCACATTAATAATATATTGTATTTCTTCATTCTCTATCAGATTTTCTTCTTCTATGATTTCGAGTGTATCTCTATGCCTGAATGAATAATAATTGTTTTTTGAATTAATTTTAATTTTTATAATTATCCTATTGACTATTTCATCAAAATTCAATTAATTTATCCTAAACCTTGAGCTCTGATACCACTCTTGTCACGACCCGGTTCAGGACTTGGAGTTGACCAAGGCGGGAAAGACGGTCTGTTAGTGAGAACTAAATTTTCTATATTAACTTATAATATAATAGATGCAAGAGGCACTACAAAATTAAATTAAAGTGATACAATTATAATTACCTAGTTACTGGTTGTTCTCGTAATCTATAAACATTTTATCGTTTATCGCTCATCTTTTTATAATTTAATTAAACCTGAAAAATTAGTTAAAATAATAATAAGCTAAATCAAGCTAATGAATACTCGTACTTTTAAACTACATCAATACGAAAAAAAAGATTACTATGCATGTCAGTTAAGCTTATTTATAAATCAATATATATATTTAACACGTCATTCAAAGAGTCTATATCAATATCATTTCATATCTATACAACTATAATAGGAGGCACTGTTGAAAGATTTAATAACGATATCCTTTTTCATTTACGTACACAGATACATTAGTGTTCCCCATCTACATCATTATATTTATAATTTAGAAGTAAAAGTACTCACCTCAATTGCCGATGATTTTAAACGTTCTCTTCACTTATCTCCAATGAGAAACTTAAAGTCAAGTGCATAAAAATTATTATTAATTTATTATATTTTAATCTTATTATTAAAAAGCAATATGCCTTAATTTGACCCTTTGATATATCATATTATTTTATTTTTATTATACTAATTTTTATCTTCATTTAATTATTTATTTTAAACAATTTAAGCTTAATAAAATATTGACAATAAAGTTGGTTTAACTTTCTAGTTGTATCTTTTCATAGTCATATATATATATATATATATACATTTACATTTATATTGCGTAAAAATTTCTTATTAAATAAACAATTGAACTTGACTGATCCTCTGCTTGTTCTCCTTCCCTATTTAGTTTCTCGACTACTCAGCTTTCTCGTTCCGACTCCTTGTTTCCTATCTTCTTTGGCTTTTTGTTTCTTCTCCCAGGTAAACAGAACGATACGAAGACTGTTGTTTATTTTCTAGAAAAAGATGGCATGCATCTGGAAAATGTCTCAGGAAAACTAGACATGAACAGATGACTTTCATCTTTATTTAAAGCAACTAGTTTCAAATAAATTTATTGTCACTTTCTCTCACACTCACAATGCTAATCATTCGGTTAAATTATTTTTTTCTGTACTTAAAAGCAGTCCTTATGATTCTAACGTGATGACTTTATGTACCCTTCATTATTAGATTTTTATGCAAACTTATATAATCATGAGTGCTATCGTTTTTTATCAATATAGTTGTTATTCATGAAATACTATTGTTCTGTGGATTTTTATGTGCAACATTTTATATGGTTTTGTTGCCTTGCTTACACTTTGGATCTCCTCCATTCTCCCTAGCTACTTGCTGAAATGTGGGATAGAGGACCTGTTAAGTTTTCAGTGTTTATACCTGATCATTAAAAGTTGGGCAAGCCCCGACTTCTTACATAGAAGTATGACATTTATATTTATACAAATAAAGCTTTTTGTTTGAACCGAAATGGAAGATCATCTGTGATTTTTTTATTCTCTTAATGAAGCCTTAAAAAGAACGTGATTCCAAGCATCTGGAAAATTTATAATATTTTTAATATACATGGACTAGGAGAAACATTATATGAAAAAGTTATTTTTTACTAATTAAACCATTATACTTTTTTTTTTTATAAATTTAAACGCTAAATACTCAAGCTGAATATTTTTCTTAGTCAGAAAAATATGTGTGTGTGTGTGTGTGAGAGAGCTGGCTCATTGGTGCGGCCTCTGACATAAGTCCCTTGGGTCGGAGGGCTTTTCAGATCAATTAAAGCTACCTGAGTTTCGACCCAAATGGGGGAAACGATATTTGGTGTATATAAATTGCTTTCACTCTTATAGTGCAATTATTTTATAATCAGGTTTGCAATGATTTTTTTTCCCTTAAAAATGCTTGAAAATGTTTTCTATAATAATTATTTTTTTAAATTCCCTTTTTTCCCCATAATGTACTTGTAAATGCTTCTCTTTTGGCTTATGATGGACTTGTATAATCAGGGCAACTTCTCCTCCGTCTTTTGCAATGGAGTTATTTGTTCATTGTGAAGGTGAATCACGATTTAGGCGGCTTTGCCAACCTTTCCTTTATTCATATTCGTCATCAAATGTTTTGGAAGTCGAGGTATCTTTAATCTTTGCAATGTATTTTACATTAGTAATTTTGTTATTTTGCACTTCAAGGACTATATAACTGCAGACTGACATGGGATTTGTTTCTATATATATGAATTTCTTCCAACTATTTGTTAACTTTAAGGTATGTTAAGGTTAAATGATGACATCTGTGCCTTTCTTTCTTTCAAAATTTAAAACACTTAATGAAAAAGCTCACCTTAGGAATGCAGATTGATTGCGCAAAGATATTTTCTTACTTTTTTTTGGACATAGATGTTCTCTTTGAACATACCAACCTAACAAGCATAGTTTGAATTATCATCTTGATGGATCTTGAAGATATTGTTTATCCTTTCTATGCTTCTGCTTGTTCTTTTTTAGTTAAACGGTTGAAAAAATGACTCTTACATATCCACTCAAAAACATTGCCTGCCTTTTTGATTGTCTGGAATCTAAAAAACATTGCATGCCTCTTTCATTGTATAGAATCGTTCTAGTTTTTGTAGCATCTAGCTTACTTTCTTTCATACGAGAAAACACCATTCAATTTCAAGAAAAAAATACTAATTTGAAGAATTCATAAGACTTGATAGGACCAGTGATGTAGAGTCAATTATGAAAGAAGAAGAAAACTCGTGCACACAACTTGATGGTAGAGAAAGAAGAACTCTACACAAATAATCTGGATCAAAACAACAAAGCACTTGCCTTATCAATAGTTTATCCATAACCATTGATTTTAAATACGAGCTGTTTATCCATAACCATTGATTTTGTTTATCCATAACCATTGATTTTAAATACGAGCTATTTATCTCTATCTGTAAAAAAATAGTTGGTGATAAATAGCTTGTATTTATCTCTAACAACCATTCAATTTCAAGAAAAAACTACTAATTTGAAGAATTCATAAGACTTGATAGGACCAGTGATGTAGAGTGAATTATGAAAGAAGATGAAAACTCGTGTACACAATTTGGTGGTAGAGAAAGAAGAACTCTACACATTATTTGGATCAAAACAAGCACATGCCTTATCAATGGTTTATCCATAACCATTGATTTTAAATACGAGCTATTTATCTCTATCTGTAAAAAAATGGTTATAAAGATAAGGTCAAATAATTTTAAATAAAATTTGGTTTTATTCAAAATAAAATCTAATGACATATTAAAGCCTACATTTATTTGAATAGATAATTTAAACTATTAAAATAGGTTTAATAAATTCTAAATCATAATTAAATGAAATAAGATTGAGCTAATGATGGAGATAGGATAATGACGAATTTTTCCATCTCAAATTTATGGAGGGGACTATGAGAGAAAAAGGGCTAAAGATAAAAACTTTGTGCACACATTGGGAAAGGAGAATCATATAATTTCATGCACACATTTTAGGAGAAATATAGAGCACTAAATAAGCCTCACAAAAATTTATTCATCCAATCAATCTAAAAATCTAGAACTATATGTGTAAAGAAACAAATTTGAATGATAGGCTAACGTAGTTCTTATCCATATCTCCTGAAATTAGGATGAGTCCAAAACCAATAAAGTTCAATTTATTATTTTCAGCCAAAAATATAAACTTTCCTAAAAATCTCGAAGTTAATTTAGTGTAGTTCCTTTGTAGCCAGTGACGGAGCAAGAAAATTTTCAAAAAGGGGACACAAAATAACATTCTTAAAAATTCCCTCATCCTTTTTTGTTCAGACTTGAGACCCCCACTGCAAATTTAATTGAAGCATTTAAATGAGTACAATATTCAATTTTAGCACGATCAAATTTCATTTGAAAAATTAAATTAATATGTTAGCTTTATTTTATCTAATCACTTATAGTTAATGAAATCCTCAATGAGATTGACATTAAGTGTCTCTTTAAGGCTAGGAGCTTTCTCTTTTTATTACACATCCACATGCATACCACAATTCTTATATTTTTACATATCTAACACTAAACTTTCATATTTTCATGCATACCACTCTAATCTTTAATATCACATAAAAAACACTCTCACTAACTTTTGTAAAGTAAAATATATATTTTCTTGTATAAGTTTATAATTCCAAAGTGTTATAAATGTAAATATCAAACATGTTAGATATGTAACTTCATAAAATTTGTATTGTATGTATGTAGCGTTTTCCCTTTTTTTAAATCACATTGAGCAAATTAAATTTAATTGTACCCTATTTTTTGTTTGTTCAAGGAACTAAAGGTAAGAAAAAATGAAATTTGTTAATTTGCTTGAAAATATTCAATGAATATATAAACTTCAGTAGTTGTAAAAGTAATCTGAGCAATGTGTTCCCATCAATGCAAAAGTATGGTCATGTGTATAGCAATATGGACCTCTAATAGTTCTCAAGCTAAGACTTAGGACTGGAAATGAATTAAGCGTTCGATAAGCAACTTGTGACTCAGCTCTATTATAACTCATTTGTGATTGTTTAATTAAGCAATCAAATATGCTTGAATACTTTTTTAAATACTCGACTGTTAAATGAACAAACTTGAACATATTATTGCCCGACTCAGTTATGATTGTGAACAAAATCATTTAAAGTTCGTGAATAATCTTGTTAAGGTTCTTCATTAAAGCTCGATATTGACTTATGTACTCGATTAATGCTCGTTATGGTATTTAATTAATTTTAAATTCTTATATATTTTTATTTCCATTTCAAAATTCTTATAATATTAATCTAACTAAACTATAATTAAAATCTATTAATCTTATAATATTAATCTAACTAAACTATAATTAAAATCTATTTTAAAATTTAATTATTTTAATGTATATTATTAAAAGCTAATCAACAAAACCAAATAAAAAAAATTTAGGGTCTGTTTGGGGCAGTTATAGTTTATTAAGAAGTTGCTGATAAACAACTGATCTGGATAAGCTGGTTGAATGCTTGGTTTGTGTTGTTAGCAAACAAATTTTTTGCAGCTGTTTCTAGATAAATGATCATTCTGCCCTTGTGCAGTAAGTTGTTTGCAATATAACTGTTATATCAATATATTTTTTACTTGAGAAGCAAAAAACTAACTTCAGAATCTTACAAAAAAAGATTCAAACCTCACTTAAAAGTGAGTATCAAAATTGATAAAAAAGGAAAAAAACTATTAAAATTAAAGTTAAACATATGATAATATTAACTTTAAAATCCAGATGATGTATTTCACGAACTACGTCATCCTCCAAGGATAATATTTAACCTCGATCAATATCGGCAGTGGAATTTGTCGGGCTGTCTGGCCATTGGAAGAAGTCAAACTTTTTTGTGATGCCCCGCAAGCACTTGTAGAACTCTCCCATAGTTATGTGTCGGACGTGACGTCAATAGGGAATTCTGTAGTTCGCATTGATAGAACACTCATCGGGAGGCCCCTGAAATCCTAGAGCTCATCTTCGTGAATGATTCAAAAGGCAATCCATTATTCATAACAGAAGTTCAAATTGCTAAAAGAAGTAATTATTTACAGTTTTTTGCGGGCGTGAAGTCTCAGAGAACAAAATATACCAATCAATAAATCTGTCACTACAAGAAGACAACAAACTTTGTAAAGAAGGGTGTTTGGTTGCCTTTAGCTCACTTAATACCAAGCTCGTGTGTGTCACATATGCATATAAAAAAAAATGTCATACAAAAGTATCTCAAAAACCCCAACATCGGAAAGAAGAGAGAAACTTGGTTGCTTTTATCGAGATTTCACATGTGACACCAACTGTTAGCAACGACTAACAGACTATCTTGGAGAACTTACAAGGTCGAACGTCTCATCACGGACCTCGTAAACCCACCAGAAAAAAGCAATCGAAAAAGGAGAAGAAACAATTATAAACAACATTAAACTTACGATATCTAAAATATAAATAATCAATGAAACATAAAATAAACATGAACTTCATAAATTGATAAAATTAATAATCACTTACAATTTTGTGCGGGTGTGAGGTCTCAGAGAACTAAGTACACCAATCCCACTAAATCTTTCATAACAAAAAGACAACAAAACTTATAAAACTTGGGTTGTTGGTTGTCTTTAGCTAATTTAATACCAAGCTTGTGTGTCACATATGCATATCACCCAAAAAAGATCATACAGAAGTACCTCAAATACCCCAACATCGAAAAGAAAAGAGGAATTTGATTTCCTTTATCAGGATTTCACATATAACGCCAACCAACAACAATTAAACAATCTACCCAAAGTACCTCAAAAAACCCTAACATTGAAAAAAAGGGAACTTGGTTGCCTTTATCAGGATTTCACATGTGACTCGAACCAACAACGACTAATAGGCCATCTAGCAGAACCCACAAGGTCGAACATTTTATCATGAACCTCACAAACCCACAAAAAAAAGAACGAAAGCAATCGAAAAAGGAGATAAAATAAATGCAAACAACATAAAATTTACAATATCTTAAATATCAATAATACATGAAACATAAAATAAACATGAACTTTATTAATTAAATAAGAATAATTCAATCAACATCCAACAATGGCGTTTGTGATCCACTCTCGCAATTCAACCATTTCTACGACACCCTCACTATATTGGGTGTAGCCTTCATGTGACTCTGCTTTTGGTCACCCTCACTATATTGGGTGTAGCCTTCATGTGACTTTTGGTTGTGGTATATATTGACCTACATGAAATTCAAATGCTTTTGGTGGGAACTGCATGTGATCATCGTCGGCCATGCTGAAGTCTACATTTCGAGAATGATGCCATCGAATGTAGTTTTGGAGCGCCATCGTGACCACTACAATTTGCACATGTTTTGGAAATAGTTACGCCGACACATCTCGCAGTATGGGTCATTTCTTCTTCCATACCAAACATTTTTTCAATTACGCCGCGTAAGGAGTGTCTTATCTTAAACATTTCTTTCCTGCCACGAGTAACACCACTGAATATTTTGAAATCATGAATGTGGTATTTTGTATCTTGAGATGACTAGATACTCCATCTGTAAGTGATATT